TTTTTTTTTTTTTTTTTTATCTGGAAACAGGGTCTCCCAGGCTGGGCTGCCACTTGTGATCCTCCTGCCTCAGCCTCCCGAGTGCTAGGATGACAGGCGTTCTGCACCCTCAGCCCGGCCCGAGGACAACTTGATCACCTGGTTGGCCCACGACCGCCACCTCTGCCGTCCCTCCCAGCCCGACAGGACCCGACCCTGCCGGACCTTGGCTTCCTTCCGCTCCCGGCACCGGAGCCGTCTCCTCGAGGGTTTCCGCTCCTCCCGGCTGCTCGGACGGCGTCGGCTCGTGGCAGGCTCCCTCGCGTGTGGCGCCCAGCCTCAGCACTGTCCACCGCGGTCTCTCACCGACTCACAGCGGAACCACTAAGCTCGGCTCGCGCCAAATCTGCAGTATAGCAGCGTTCTCGTCTCGCGCCAAAACCCAGCCAGGCTTCCGATTGGTCGCTGCGCCTTGTCGCGCGCCTCAGGCCCTGCCCCCTTTTTAGTGTCCAATCCCGCTGGAAGACCTCCAGCCAATAAGAAGGCCACGAGTCTCAGAGAAGCTGTGAGGCCACGCCCACCAGGCTAGGGTATGTCTACATCCGGGGCTTCCTCCGACGGCGCGGGAAGACGGCTGACGCGAAGTTATGCCCCGCCCCACCGCGAAGCCCGACGGGAAGTGTAGTCCGTGCTCCGTGCGACTCTCCTGCGTTCCGAAAGCCTGGGTCACCATGTCCTTGTCCCTTCTCTGCCACCCGTACCCAGTTTCATTATCCTGGTAGGCTGCATTTTCACCGAGCTACTACGTAGCACGTACCATACAGGGACGCTCTGCGGACCAGGAGGCATGCTGTGCCCCTTGCTCATCTCTATTGGTCAACTCTCGCAAGGCGAGGGTTTGGGGGAGGAGTGTACGGGGTTAGAGATCACTGCACCTTGGCGTGGTGGCGGCAGGACTAGGGCTCTGCACTTCTGACACCGCGATGAAGTTCTGTACCAAAGTAAAGAATCAAGCCATGCGTGGTGGCACACACCTGTAATCACAGGTATTTGGGAGGCTGAGTCAGGAAGATTCCAAATCTCAGACAAACCTGGGCAATTTAGTGAAACCTTGTCTCAAAAAATCAAAAAGGAACAACAAAAGGCTCAGGATGTAACTTAGTGCTTCTTGGCTTCCAGGATCCAAAGTATCTCCTGTGCACCAGAAATGATAAAGAAGAACCAACTCTTTCAACTGGGCGTGGTGGTGCACGGCTGTAATCCCAGCACTCACAAGGAGGAGGCAGGAGGCTCCCCGCAAGCTTGAGGCCACCCCCGGCTACACTTTCTTACTTCACATTAATCCACACATTATGGGGACTGGAAAGAATTATGATTCTTTAATTTTAAAATCTTTTATGGCCAAACACTAGGGTTTCGGGGCCGGGGAAGACAGTTATAGAAGAGGCCAGCTGAGCTTTTAATGAAAAGTATAAATTAGAGCAGTAATTTGCAGGCCAGTTTCCAAAGCTAATGACCATCAGGTTCCCCGAAATGCGGGAACCCAGTTCTAGGCCATGGGAAATATTTCTCTTCCGTCCTTCGGTAGCAAATAAAATAGAACCATAAAGCTGAAAGACAGGAAAGGCACACTGCTACACTCACCAGTTAGCTGCACTCCGTTCACACGGGAGGCGGGAGCAACACAGTAGGAAGTGTAGGCCGGGGCTGCGCTCAGTATTTTCCCTGTACCCCTCGACTGCGTCTTAGCAGCACCCCAGGAAGTCGGCGTTTTCTCCTGTCTCACGGATGGGGAAACCCGGGTAGGGGGGGTGAGCAAACTTCCCACGGTGACAACGCTTGTGACTGAAAGAGCTAGAGCTTGACAGATCAAACTCCTGACCCCTGAGTCACAGGAGCAGTGCGTGGATGCTGGAGGCACGATCAAAATGTACGATGAGCGTGTCCACTTAAACACGTATCCCAGTAAGACACTGGCCATTAAGCCCCGCAAGTGTGTCCGACGCAAGAGGGAGGGCTCTGAGCAGGGTCCACGGCAATGTGGTTTTTAGTTTCAACAGTCACCCCGTTTTTCATCACGCAGCACAGCCCCTCCTCCTCCGCCTGTCCTCCCTCCCCGCCGCCCGGGACGCTCTGTAAAACCCTGCGCGTGCCCGGTGGCGGCCCGAGTGCGCCGCCACGGTGGGCCCTGGAGGCAGAGGCCCGGCTCGGTGGCCTCGGGGCAGAGTCGGAACCACGTGTGCAGCAGCCCCGCGGACGACGCTTCCCAAGGGGGTGGCCGCGCACCCCCGCCTGGTTGCGGAGGAGGAACTTGAGCCTGCGGGCCCTGGGGCGCTCGGAGCGACCCTTGTCAGTGGTCCTCTGGGGCGGCCAGGGTCCGAGGGTGGCAGTTCTGCCCTCCTTCCCATTTGCACAGCGCTGACGCCAGAAGCAGTGCCCTTGCAGGGGCCGCGCAGGACTCAGCTATCCGGGTCGGGAGCGAAGTCCGAGGCCCATCGCGGGAGCGGCTGCGCCTCAGTAGTAATTCGGGCAGGCAGGAGTCCTCATCATGGCCTTGCTCAGGCAGTGTCGCGGAGGAGGGGAATGAGGCCACACCGGAACGACCTGCCCTGCGCTCCGAGCGCAGCCGAGCAGAGACAGAGCTGCCGGCAGGAAGCTGAGCCCATTCGAGCCAGGTCCATCTGCAGGCGACTTAGAATCAGAGCAACTGAATCAACAAATAGGCAGTTTATTAGTCAGATTCACAATCACAGGTCAAACCGCCTGCGGAAGTCGGGATGAGAACGAAGTGGACCCTCCCCCGTTTCCCTCCCCTTTGCAGGTTTTTAATCTGAAGTATGTGGGGGTGACTCAGGCGCACACCTACGATGAACCCGCGCAAGGCGCACTGCAAGGCGCACTCCAAGGCCTTCGCTGGCGATGAAAGAGCAAGTTAAGCTCACGGCCCTTCCGTGATAGTGCCAACTGACTACAGGAAGGAAAAAATGCCTGCTGGAAATTTCTACATCTGAAGTCCAAGTTCAAGAAAACCAGCTAAGATTACAGTTTAAGAAGCAGGAGAGAGGGAGCGGGGATACAGCTCAGTGGCACAAGCGCCTGCCTGGCAAGTGCAAGGTCAGGAGTTCGACTCCTGGCACCAAAAAAAAAAAAAAAAGCAGGGGAAAACACCAGCCAACACCCACATCAAAAAAGGGACACACAGACCTGAGTTTATCTGAGAATCAGCTGAGCAACACAGACAGAAAGAAACCTAGAACAGGAGCACAGGACACAAGGCCGGGGTCCGTGGCAAGTCAGCTGGCAAAGTACAGTAACGCAGAGCTGCCGGCTAGATCAGAACAGGGGCGGGCGCGCGCACTTCCCCCAGGCTAGGCACCCACCGCGGGGCGGGGTGAGGGGCTACCCGGAACAGGCGGCCACAGGTTTTGTCCCGTCCCTGTGCCACCACCGAGCTGACTTTCCAAAGAGCACACAGTCTGCAGCTTTTTGTTTTTAGCAAGGTTTAATTTAAACTGCACAGGCATCCAAAGAACGAAACGTACCGAAGAATCCAACCTGAGACCAGATGATACATTTCAGGGGTGGGAAAAAATAATCAGTGCTACTTGGAAGGAGCATTGTAATGAGAATATAACTCTAAGATAAATCATATAATAAATTATTCTTTAAAAGAAAGTGATCTGCATACAGACGGACACACACACACCGCTCCCATCTTCTGTTCAGGGTTGCCTGTGACCGCCACGCGCGAAGGGGCCGCGACCAGGCTCGCGGGGAGGCGGCCAGGGCCCTCGGAGCCCGCGTACGGGGTGAAGGCATAGAAGCAGCCCCGCGAGCGTCAGAAAGGAGACTAGGAAGGAGGAAACGGCCATTATCAAGGATTTTAATGACTTCAGAGACGCAGAGGAGGAGAGCACAGGAATCTCGCACGAGTGAAGGCACAATGGACGTGAAGCTGGATGGAACCCCCTCGGGGACACAGGCCTCTTCTCTTTTTTGCATGTGGTTTTGCAGGTGGTTATAATTTTGTTTCATTTTAAGAGGTGAACCTTGGAGGCAGAGCCGTGAGGCCCTCTCGCCTCCCATTCCCTCACTTCGGGTGGCTCAGACAGCCACCCAGGCTGCACAACCAGGGGCCCGAGGCGACAGGGACAGACAGGACAGCGGAATGTGCGGAATCCAGCTGCAGCTGGTGGGGCAGTGGGCTGTGGAAGGACAGACACCCACATGGCGTCCGTCAGGGGCCGCCCAAGGCCCCGCTCCACCCCACCTCTACACAAGGGAAGGGCCCCAGCCACCCCAGAAGTGCGCCTACAGATTATTTCAAGTTATCAGGAGAACGAACACACACCCCAACCCTGAGTTGCTCTGTAGCAAGTCTATTTACAACTTCCTCTCCTCTCTCAGGAGGTAAATGTGGGTTCCCAGCTGGGGGGGCAGTGTGACAGCTGGTGCCTGGGACAGCTCCAGACTCACTCTGCTGCCCCAGCTGTGGTGACAGTGGCGCTCACAGCTGGAGCAGATCCCTGCAGCAGAGAAGCCACACCTGGGATATCAGAGCCCTTTGGCCTGGGCTCGGGGACCAGGGCGAGGGAAGGAGGCATCTCGTGCATCTAAACCAAAGCGACTAGGATGCTTTTCCCACTGGGGAAAAACGTCACAAACCAAACCACCAAGAGGGCCGTCCACGCAGCTTCTCCATGCTAAGCTGAGCAACGCCACTTCCCTCCAGGAGGGAACAAGGGAAGTAAGGGCAGCCTCAACGTGAGACCACCCAGCTTACCTGGAGAGGTCATCCCACCTACAGACCCCAGGAGCAGTTCGAAAGGTGAGAAGGTTAGTGCCCATCTTAAACTTACAGCACAAGTTCTGTAGACAGAAAACAGACCAGCCATGCGGGTCCGCGCCTATCTTCAATAGCAAATACACGTGATAATAAGTCTGTTATTGACAGCGGGACCAAACAGCGTGTAAGGCAAAGCTAGCCCAACAGTGCTGCGCCACCAGCGAGTTCGGAGGACAGCCACCCCGTCAGACCCAGAGCCACGCCTTTTTTTGTCTTGAGGCCAGCGGTGAAAATACAGTCCATACTAAGTGACACAGCACAAATGCTGGGGGACACGAGGGCGGCAGGTCATGAGGCGGAAGATAGCAGCCCCAGGAGACACTGGGGTTTGGCTTTATTGGTGATGCTTGCTTTGACGCTCTACGTTGAGTAAAGGGAAAGGAAAGACACACTTTGAGAACATTGTACAAAAGGCATCGACTCCCATTTCAAAAATAAATGGGAAGACTTCACAGTCAAAGCTCCGCCGCTTGTCAGTGTCTACCCGGGGCTGCGCTGCAGGGCCACTCCTGCCCCTGCCTCTCGGCCCTCCTCGCTTCAGGATGCCGGGGAGACTTCGGGAGGTGACCGCTAACGCATTAGAAGACAACAGCGGTAAACAGAGAACGGTTACAGCAAGATCTTATCATGGTCTGCGCCCCAGTCTGTGCAGTCCAGGGGATGACAAGGGACAGCACTCAGAACACACGATCCAGAGCCCTTCCTCGCCTGGCACTGGGCAGAGCTGGCCCAGACCCTTAGCCTGTGGCCCAGCCAAAACGAAAGGTTCCCATGGCAGTGTAAACCTGCAACATGCCCGGTGACAGAGGAAGGAGGTCAGCTTAGTCTCTCTGCTCCCACGCCAACTCTGGGCAGCCTCTCCAAACCGACCCGCTGGTGTGTGGAGCCAGGAGCCCCCGCGGCCACTGGAGGAAGGAAAGCCACCGCCCCACCCTCCAGCCTCAGCAGGGCCTCTACCTGCTTTCTCTGTGCTCTGGGCCCAGGGCCTGGAAGACACAAGCATACTGCTAGCTGCCAGGGTAGACCCCTGGGCCAGGCACAACTCTTCAAGTCTGTGCTCCCTGCATAGAGAACCCTTGAGCAACCCTAAGGGTCTACTGCCTCCCGCCCCATGCCCTACGGTCCTGGGAAGGGGAAGGCAGCCGAGCTTCCGAAGGAGCTGGCCCTAAGGCCCTCTGCAGCCCTCCAAGTGCTTCACCTTTCTGTCCCTGGTCTCCAGGAGCTGAGCAGGGCACAAAGCGCCTCTCACGCAGCAGGGCCAGTCAGGAGCAGCCACGGCAGAGGCTGAGCCCCAGGCCCTAGCTTCCTATCTCCCAGCAGAGGTTCCGGGGGCTTGTGACAGGAATGACTCATGTCCCCCAGAAGGGACTGTTCTCTTGAGGTGCTGGGGGGCGAACACCTTCAGGCTAGCACCCTGAGGAAAGGAGGCAGCGTGTCCCAGGACTCGGCTGCTGCTGGTCCCTTGGCTGCAGAACTGACTGGCTCAGTGTCCTCGGGCTACTTCACACTCTCTTTGATCAAATGTTTAGTCAGCTGATTAGTACTTAGTGTTCATGGCTACCTTAGCCCTGGGACGGGGAGGTGAGAACAGAGCAAAATACCCCTGGAAAGAAGCAGAGCTGCTTCCATCCTTTCTCCAAACCCAACCTCTAAAACAGATTGCTGCTCTGAACTGCCCCTCAATTTACTGCAGATGCTGCCTCGCCAGAGTCCGGGCCGTGCAGCGTCCTGACAGCAGCAGTTGATGCACCGCCACGCCTCCCCGAAGCGGGTGACAGCAGGCAGTGCAGCGCCCTGCTCCCCACCGCCGAGTCCGTCCGTCCACGACAAGGCACCCCTGCCCAGGAAGGCAGGGCTCCCTCCTCTTCTGCTCAGCAGGGCTGGCTGCGGGAGGGGCGGCAGCGTGAGCCCCCTGCTGCTCAGAGCCGTTGCAAGTTGGGGGAGAGGCAGAGATGGAGGCGAGCTGGAGGATGCTGGAGGCGGGCGGGAGCGCTCATGCAGGTTTCGGGGTGGGGGCCCTCTGAGAAGAGCAGGTCTGTCCTTTCCTGAGGGACAGGACCGGCCAGGCTTCACCTGAGAATGGGTGGCAGAGGGGGGGCTCCACGGGCAGCTGGAAAAAACCACACACGTGTCAGAGCAACCGAGGGGCCACACACACGTGTCAGCAACCCTGAGGCATGCCCCCTGCCCCATCACAGCAACTGTGCAGAACCCCAGCAGCCCTGAGATGGGAGACAGCACCTTCACCTCCAGCAAGTCTGGGGACTAGGGTTTGTGTTGGTTTTTCATGAAAACACAGCGTAGAACTTGACTAGAGAAATACACAACTATGTTACGTGCAACTACCAGCCACGCTCCTCCCCGCCTGCCTCACCTCGGTGTGTTTTGCTGGGATATATTCTCTGAAAATGCTTATATTCTTCTGGAGCTGGGAAGTCTTCTACGGGATGGAAGGAATACTTGGACTCAAAGTCATCTGTGAAGAGAGCAGAGGCTTGAACCTTGTCACCCCCTTGTGCCTCCTTGTGCTTCCCGCGCTGAGCTGGAGCGCAGCCCGACATGACCTCCTTGACCGATGCACCAGGGTCCCCAGGGCACGGAGCAGCCTCAGGTGCCACCTTGCACAGGGCTCTCCTCCACATCGGCGTCTCAGAGCTGCTGCTCTCATGCTTCCCACCAGAAGTCGGTGCCGGAGAGGCCTGTGTCTGCACGGACGCAGGCAGCAGCACAGTTCTGCTTCACGAACACGGTCATCCTAGAGACCATTGTTAAGGGGAACTAACAGAACTGCCTGCAAGCTAGCAGAAGCTCATCTCCAGCGGGAACACTGTCTCCAGCTGAGCATGACCGTGCGCGAACCCTTCGATCGCCATCTCGGCACCACAGCTGGGCCACTTTTCGGGCCCTGCTCCCTCCTGGCTCCTGCCCAAGAAGGCGCAAGTTCCTACACGTGAGGCTATCATATCCCTAAGGTCTTCGTGACAGGACGGCTGTCCCACGGGACAGAATGGAACGAGTGCAGGGACAGCCATGAAACCATCTTGCAGTGCTGGGGCCACAAGGGAGCCCACAGCTCAGAGGGTGCTCAAAAGGGGTCTGACACGTTCTGGCCAGCCTTCACTCCCAGTCCGTCCCAGGCGGAACAGCGCCGCTCGATGGGGCGCCAACGCCTACGCCTAGGAAGTTCACGTGACAGGTCCTGATTGGATCGGCTTCTCGGTCTCACGGATAAGGGAGAGGAATGACACGACCTCCTCCAAGCAACAGAGTGGGCAGCAGCTGGACAGCTTCAGTTGTGCTGTTTTTTACTTTTGGGAACTGGGAATCGAACTCAGGGCCTCGCGCTTGCCAGGCAGGCTCTGTGCCAGAGCCGTCCCGCGCCAGCGGCTTTAGTTCACTATGATGATTACTCTTTTTAGTGCTGGAGGATCTAACCCAGGGCCTCGGCATCCCAGCTTGTTTCGTTTTTAAAGAGCCAGAAAAGAGCGCGGCTTGTAGGAAACAATCCGTCTGAAGGACGCTAGGGAAGATGCAGACACACTGGTCCTCCAGGGCCTGTGAGGAGCTCAGCCCCGGCACAACACCTGCTAGTTTCACCTCAGCCCAGCCCACGCCATGGCGTCTAGAGCCATCTAAGGGCAGCGATGCCAATGGATGGACACGGCCCCCGGAGGACCTGCTAGGAAGAGGCCAGCCTGAGTCCCTGCAGGAGCCGCACCTGGGCTCAATGGGGTCCCTGTGGAAGTGAGGAGACAGTAAGCACTCACCCAAGAAGGAGCGGACAGTGGTGATGGAGTCTCGGTGGCCATTCCTCAGCGGCGGCGGCGGTGGTGGCGGCGGCCCGGCGGGTGTCCGGGAGGGTGGGGGCGGGGGCTTCCCCCGGCTAGGGGGCTCTGCCCCATGCATGCGGTAGGGCGGGGGTGGTGGGGGTGCGTCCCGGGCACCATTTCGGATCGTGGGCGGCGGAGGTGGTGGGGCTGCAGAGAAAGCAAGGCACTTGGTGGGCTTGGGGAAGGGCCAAGGGGCTGGAGGGTGAGGGCCGAGGGGGGGGGGTTGCCTCCCCCAAGGACAGGCTTGTGGCCTTTGGACACATTCATCAGCTCGGTCACCTTCCTGGTACACTTGTTTCCAGATGGAAACTTGAGAAATGTGTGACCTATTCTCGTGTTCCTCAACTCAGCCAAGAACCCTACCCTTAGCTGAGCATGGAGACATACCCCCGCCCCCGTGATCCCAGTGCTCGGAGAGGCTGAGGCAGGAGGGTGCAATCTCGTGCCTCTCCTGGGCATCATGGTGAGACAGCACCTCAAAGTAAAATATAAAAAAAGGCCAGGGACAACGCTCATTGCAAAGGTTCTAGATTTGACTCCCAGTAACACTCTCACACACCTGCAAATGAGGGAGGGAGACAACTCTACCCTTTTGGGCCCTGCATGTGCTAGACAAGCACTGTACTTATGTTTTGAGACAGGGTCTCCCTAAATTGCCCAGGCTGGCCACTTCCATCCCCCTGCCTCAGCCTCCCAAAGTGGCAGCAATATAGGCAGGCACCACCCCGGGCCTGATCTAATGCTGCCCCAGTGTTCTAAGCTCCAGCAGCCCGATGTCCCCTACACACCTGCGGTGGTCTTCCCACGAGGGTCTGCATCCACAGCAGCAGCCTCACTCACCCGTCCTCCCCTCTCACTTCCAGGCTGCGTCACATGCCCCACTTGTGCCCACATGGTGTGTCCATACCACGCTATGGCCTGGAGCCCAACCTCGGTCCAATCACTCTGGCCTCACTCACGCGATACCCCTCGTATCCATGACCTACTCTCAAGGTCATTCAAGCCCACCTTCAAAGGTGTTCCCAAAGCTCCCCGCTCTCTTCTGAACCACTCCCCCCGCCATAAGCAGAGACTCTACCGCCACTGGGGGGCTGGGGATTTAGCTCAGCGGCATAGTGCCTGCCTGCTAAGTGCAAGGTCATGAGTTCAATCCCTGGTACCAGAACACAAAACAAAACAAAAAAAAAGACACTAACACCAGCCTGGGACAGAACAGACTGAAATGAGCCCTTTTCAAAACAGGACAGGAGGTTCGCCGGGGAAGTATCGTACATGGGTGACAGCCACGCTGCTCAGGAACCTCCGAAGCCAGCCTCTCACACGGACCCGGGAACAGCACTGCATGGCGGCCACACCTCCTGTCTGGGGCTGCCACGCCATCACCAGAAACACTTCTACCTCTTGTCAAAAACCCAACTTACCCTTCAAGGACGAAACCCTCCTCCCCAAAGGCAATGTCAACTACGCACTTAAAAAACGCCCACACCCTGCTCTCCTCGAGCAGCTCGCATTCCTGGAAGTCCTCAGCCTCTTCAGCCACAGCAGAAGCAGCTACCATTTACCATGCACTAGGTATACTCCAGGCATTTTACTGCAGGTTACGTCTGTAAAAACTCTTATAGCTGCTCCCACAAAGCAGGTGGTTTTTTTTTTTCTTTTTGTTTTTTTTGGTACCAGGAATCGAACTCATGACCTCATGCTTGCCAGGCAGGTGCCCCTACATCCCCAGCCCCTTCTTTTTGGTTTTTTCAGACAAGGTCTGCTATGTAGAGTGAGGGGCCTCAGATGCACTGCATCTTCCTGCCTCGGCCTCTCGGGTGCACACCAGGGTAACAGGCGTGTGCCACCACACCTGCCGAAGGTATGCGGAATTACGCCTGGACTGTGTGACTAAGGTCACAGGCCTGATAAAAACACACTGAGCACGCACAGGTGTGCTCTCAGCACTCCCTGCTCTCCCTAGTCACCGTGAGCACCATGGATTTCAGCTCCCACCCACATTTACAACCCAGTGACTGGGAAGTCTGTCACCTGGTGCACACCACACTCCACAGACAGCTGTCACCACAGCAGTACTGAGACGACTCAGCTTAACACACAGCACTGCTTTAGTTATAAAAGCGCTCTCAGTAGCGTGTGGTGTGCACCCTGTAACGGCACCACGAGGCTGAGACAAGAGGATTGCCACGAGCTCAAGGCCAGCCTGAACTGCACAGAAGACCTTTTTTCCAAAAAAAAAAAGGGTGCTTCCAAGCTACATCCTAGACTTCCTCCTGCACTCCTGTCAGAATTTCGTCTTTTTGAGACAGCGTCTTGCTCTGCAGTTCAGGCTGGCCTTGAGCTCACCCTGTAACCCAGGCTGGTCTCAAACCCACAAGGACCCTCCTGCCTCAGCCTCCTGAGTGCTGGGATTACAGGCGTGCGCCACCACGCCCGGCTTCCTGTAGCATGTGACAGAGTCATGGGGTAATGTACGCACCAACAGTGTCAGTTGCAGAGACACCGTAAGTGCTGTTTCTCCTTCCGACAGCACACCCGGAGTGCCCCCTCCCTCCCTCTCTTCCAGCTCTGGTCTACGTGTACACAGGGGTCCCTGGGGGGAATGACTAGGAAGAAACCTCCTGAGAACCTCCTGGCAGATCCCTAGCCTGACTTTCACCCTGCATCTGCCCACAGCAAAGCTCTTCAGGTCATTCTCAAAATATTCCCTAAGCATGGACTTCTCAAGTCTCTGAAATGTGCTCGCATCTACTCTGAGGACAGCCTGGAGTAACCGGCACAGGGCAGGGTGGGATCACCGGGCGACACCAGCTAGACCAGGGCAGGTGACAGAGCAGGCCCAGGGCCACCTACTGCGGGCAGGACCGTCCTGAGCACAGTCTACTCTCTGCAAACAGCTTTCCACCTAGGGCTCCACAAAGCTGGGCCCGTGCTCTGCGAGCTGTGTCTCCAGCCCTTCTCCACATCAGGATGTGCAGATGACCCCATGTTTCTATTGTACTGGGAATTGAACCCAGGGCCTTGTTTCCAGGTTGGTTTTTTTTGGCTTTTTTCCAGTACCGAGAATCAAACTCACGACCTTTCATTTGCCAGGCAGGCACTGTGCCGCTGAGCTAAATCCCCAGCCCCCTGTTTCTGTTTTGATCTTTGTCTTCTTGAAACAGGGTCTCACTATGTAGTGCAGGCTGGCCTCAAACTCACAGCAATCCTCCTGCCTCAGCCTCCCAAGTGCTGCGATTACAGGTGTGCACCACCATGCCCAGTATTAAGCAGGCACTCTTACCACCGAGTTACGTCCCTAGCCCCAGACCCAGGTTTTTGTTGCGGGGATGGAGCATTATTTTGGGGGACAGGGTCTCACTATGTAGTTCAGGCTGGCCTTGAACTTACTGTGTAGCCCACACAGCCCTCAAACCCATCATCTTCAGGCCTCAGCCTCCTGAGTGCTGGGATTATAGGTGTGCGCCACCATGCTGTGGGAGATACAATTTGATTTTCTGGAGTTCTGGGGATTAAACCCAGGGCCTCGGTCCTAAACTACATCCATAGCATTTTTCTTTTTGAGACAGGGTCTCCCTATGTAGTTCAAGATGGCCTTGAACTCACAGTGACCCTTTTAGTTGCAAGGAAGAAACAAATATGAACATTTCTTTTTTCCCTAATGTATCACTTTTTCTTTTTTTCTTTTAGTGATACTGAGGATTGAACACACGATCTCCGCACTGAGCCACATCCCCAGCCCTTTTGTATTTTCACATCTAAGTCACTAAATTGCCCAGGATGGGCTCCAACATGAGATCCTCCTGCCTCAGCCTCCAAGACGGTTGGGCTACCAGGTGGGCACCACCACATCCGGCCCTAACGTGCCCCTCTTAGGAATCGCTGCTGTTACCCACATGGAAAACAAGCCGAGGCCGCTTCGAAGCCTGCATAATGATGACGGCTACTGGAGAGAGGAACGCAGCTTACAACTTCAAATCTTCCAAGACAATTACAGAGAAGGAAGTGAGACATGAGAAAGAAGTCTGCAGACACCTGTGACTACTCAGCCCAGCCAGCACACGCTGCAGTTTCCTCGGCCTGCTTTCCTGGATGAGGTCAGAAAGACGTGCTCCACTCAGATGAGGCGTCTGCTTAAACAGCCTATGTTTAAAGGTTTAACTTTGACCTCAGTAAACTAAAGGGCCAGCATAGCCTGACCGTGTCTCCCATGGGGCAGGAACGCCCCCAGCTACTCCCTGACACGGTGCTGGCCTCCAGTCCCACGGAGCCGCCTCAGCAGCAGCGCAGGCTAACTAGCTTTTGCTTCTGGGGTTGAGGACCGCGCCCCCACTGCAGACGCCCGGCAGCACTGTACTGTGCACGGTCTCCTCAGCCCTCTGACTGTCACTCTGAGACACGTCTCGCAGGGTTGGCCGAGGTGTTCTTGAACAGGCAACCCTCCAGCCACAGCCTCGAGGCAGCTGCAATTACAGGCATGCCTCCATGCCCAGCTTTTAGTATGTGCTTGTGGGAGACTTCTACTTTATCTTGAGACAGGGTCTTGCTACGTTGCCCCAGCTGGTCTAGAATCCCTAGTTCAAATGGTTCTCCTGCCTCAGTTGCCCAAGAAAGAAAGGCTGTGGGTGGTGCCACTGTGCCTCATGACACAACTTCCTGATCAGTGATCCACAGCTGCAGAGACTGACTTTGAAATAGCAGCTCAAAAGCCGCTCGTGAGAAGTGCAGCTCAAGGTCCAACACAAGGATGTGGGTGCCAAAGCTCGTGGGCCCAACTAGGCTCCAAAGAGCTGTCACTGTCACCCATACCCTCGAAACTTTAGCCGTGCTATTTGGTAAGTGATCACACAAAACTAGAACTGGCGTGGGGGTGGGGCGTGGGGGTGGCGTGTGCCTGTAATCCCAGCCCTTGGGGGGTGAGGCAGGAGGACTGTTGCAAGTTTGAGACCAGCCTGGGCTACAAAGTGAGCTCAAGGCCAGCCTGAACTGCACAGCAAGACAGTCTCAAAAAAACAACAAAAAAAAACCCAAAAAACAAAAAAAAAAAACTAGGAGTGGTAGCACATGCCTGTAATCCTAGCACTCTAGAAGGCTGATGCAGGAAGATTGCAGCTTTGGCAATTTAGGGAGACTGTGTCCCATTCATTCATTCATAAATAACAAACAAATGGGCTGAGGATGTAGCTCAGTGCAAAGGCCCTGGGTCCAATCCCCAATGCTGGCAAAAATACAGTAAAAATTAGTATCACTTAACTCCTTTACTTTCCCCACCCTTGAGACATAGCCCCAAGAAATCACTAAGTTGCCCAGGCTCGGCTCCAACCTGCAGTCCTGCCTCAGCCTCCGAGTGCAAGGAATACAGGCGTGCACCACCATCCATACCAGTCTCTTTTTCCCTAGGATTCCTCAGTCCCCTGTGGTCCCTGTGCTCACAGCTGGGGTTTGGGGAGGGGACTGGATCTGGGGGTGGGACTCTCATCAGTGGGTTCCTCACCTGGCCAGCAGGGGGGAGGCCAGGGGGGGAGGTTCCCTGCCTCTGCTTCCAGTCTGCCAGCCCCGCCCATGGACTGAAACCTCCACCAAATGAATGCCTCCTCCTTCACTGTGTAGGTGTCAAGTACTGTCTCCCAGAGACGCAGGGAGTGACTAAGACACCTCCCCAGTGCAGGCTGCAGGCCTGACAACAGCAGATGCCACACGGCCAGACATGCTCTGTGCTGACTGTCCTGAGCTACAGGGCCTGTCCTCTCGGGCCCACACACCGGCCCAAAGCATCCCCGTGCTACAGCTGGTGTTCTAGCTGCTGTCTCACAGGGAGAACAAGTAGAAGGCTGCCCTGCCAGGCCCTCGCCATGCACCGCTATGCTAAGCCGGCTGGCAAACTCTCCCTCTGTGACTGGTTCATGAGACCCATCCTGTCGGTGTGCGAACAGAACCCAGTCCTGGGTGGAAACCCTGAAACCCTGCAGCCTCCTCCAGCAAAAATGTCACTTATCTGCACGCGCACACTCTGCCTTTACACAAACTACACCGCTACCTCCAATTCCCACATTCGTTTTTTTTCAGGAAGGGGAACTGAAAACAAGGCCTTCACACCAAGCTACATCCACAACCCTTTTGAATTTTTACCTTGAGACAGTTTTGCTAATTTGATGTTTCCCAGGCTGGGTTCATACTTGTGATCCTCCTGCCTCAGCCTTCCAGGTACTGACGTCATAGTACACCAGCATGCATGGTTTGTGTTTTTGTTGTTGTGGGTGTTTCTTTGGATTTTTGAGATAAGCTCTCATCTCACTATGTAGGTCAGGCTGGCCATCCTCCTGCCTCGGCCTCTCAGATGCTGGGTGAAATTATACGCATGGGTCACCACACCCACCCCTCTACCCCGCTGTTTTAGAGGCAAGTCTCTCAATGCATTACCCAGGTTGGCCTCAAATTCCTGGGCTCAAACCATCCTCTCACCTCTGCCTCCTGAGTAGCTGGAATCTACTCTTTTAAGTTTTTTGGAAACAGGGTCCCCCTATGTACTCAGGTTGGCCTTGAACTGTGTAGCCCAGGCTGACCTCGAACCCACAGCAATCTCATGCCCTGCTCTCCTGAGCAATGGGGTTAGGGGTGTGCGCCACCACGCCCAGCCACTGACCCCACTCCAAGTGATGCTCTCACGAGCAGCCCTCGCCACCCTGCTGGACCTGTTCAGAAGGGTCCCTTGCTGCTGAGTCTTTGCCGTCCGACTCCCGGGCCCTGCCCAGCCCTGCCCAGGCATGCAGCCTTTCCACTGCTCTCGCTTTCCCTTCTCCTCAGCTGGGGCTCCAGGCTTCCCTCTGCCAGGCTCTCACACGCTCCCTCCGCGCGCAGAGTGTGCAGTTCTGCAGGCCACTGTGGATCGCGCCGGCCTGGGACGAGGCCCCCACCCATGCGCTCGCTCTGGCGGGCAGGCGTCCGGGCCATCCCACACTGGAGGGAGGCCCCCTGCCCACCTCCCACGCTGGCTCCTTCCACCGTGTCCGCCTGCCTGTGGCCGGACAGAAGCTGGGGTTCCTGCGCAGGGCACATCGAGTCATGCTACTCTGCTCCAAATCCCCACGTACATGGTTTCCATCTCGGAGTCCAGTTCAGTTTTCCGCTGTTTCTGAGTCATGGTACGAGGGCTGGAACCCAGTGCTCTGACACTGAGCTATGTTCTCAACGCTTTTTCTCGTATTGTGAGATAGGGCCTCATTAAGTTGCCCAAGCTGAGCTCAAATGTGCCATTCTTCTGCCTCAGCCTCCCAGAAAGCCGAGATTACAGGCCTGAACTGCTGGCACTGAGGAGCTCCAAGTTTTTGGAAGGCCCTGGGGAGATTCTCCCAGGGTGCCCTCGCTCTCTCCTCTCCATGCCTGCCACTCCTCCCCTTGCCACTCCCTGTCACCCTAGTACAGTGACCTGCACGCTGTCCCAAGACCTAAAGGCCAGTCCCACAAAGGCCCTGGCAGCTGCAGTTCCCACTGCCTGGCTGCAGAAGGAAGATGCTCACTGCCTCCCTCAGGTCCCTGTCAGCACAGCCTCTCCCAGCTGCAGACGTCACTGTCGCGCTGCCCAGGGTGTCACCCCTCCGTGCTCCGGCTTCCTTGCGCTACTCCGGGTTTCTCTGAAGCACAGCGTGTGTGAGGTACTATGTGCTGTACCGCGTGGCCCAGAAGATGGCATGACTCTTCCATTACTGCGGTTTCCCTCACCACAGAGGCAGACATGTTAAAAGGGGCTCAATGCTACGGGAGCAGGGTCCCCAGCACTTACCTGCCCCCCTACTGGGAGGCTCCCGGGCTGGGGGAGGGGGCCGACTGCTTGGTAAAGAGGGAGAGGCTGAGGTCGGCGGAGGAGGTGCAAGGCCCCGGACAGGCCCCGGCGTCTTCCTATGCAAAGAGTTGTGTCTCTGCGGCAGCTCGGGGGCTGACTCATGTGTGGGACTGGAGGGCCCATTGGGGACACCAGGGGGCTGGCGGTAAGGCGGCGGCGGAGGGGCCAGCGACTGGCCACTTGGTCCCACTCTGAGGTTCACAGGGGAAGGTGGTGGCTTGACTGGGGGTGGCGCAGGCGGCCCCTCACGCCCAGGGTGCAGCCTCTGTCCTGGGGTGGGTGGCAGGGGCTTCTCCCGGTTGTAGGCCGGGGCCTTGCTGCCAGGTGTGGGCAGGGGCGCAGGGGGTGCATTGGCACGCCGGCCGGGGGGTGGGGGCGGGGGCGCTGAGGAGCTGTGCTTCATGCCCGGGCCGCTGGTGGCGTTGGGCCGTGAGAGGTCAGGGAGCGAGGGGCGCTGTGTCCGGGGCAGTTCAGGGAGGGAGGCGCGGCCGCTGTCCGTGTCGTCCTGAGGCCGCCCACTGGCTGCAGACACCGGTGGCCTCGGGGCAGCAGCTCGAGACCCGGGGGTGTGCAGGGCTGGTCTCCCAGCCAGGTTCTCTGTGACAAGCAGACAACAGGGTCAGCACCCACAGACCTCGGGCCCTCCTGGTTCTGCTATTTACCTGTCTTCAAAGGGCAGTTGAACCCAGAGCCGAGGCTCACCCAAGCACTTGTCCCCCACTGAGCTACACCCTGGCACCTAGTTCTGAGTTTTAGTCTGGCTTTTGGCTCAGGGCCCATTCACAAATATTGCCAGTAAGCTGAATATACTTTTAAAATCTGACTTAATTTTTAATCAACAAGTAATTCTATGTATGTATGGGCTGTTGTCTGCCAGGCTGCAGGATGATTCCACTGGGTTACGTCACACATTCACCTGACACCTATCAGTGATGACGACGTTTAAAATCTCCTCCTGCAGAAGTGTGAGCTCCACACAGCAGTCACACTGCACCCGGCGCTGACCACCCCTCTCCCCACAGCCGAGGCCGCCCTGCGTGCAGCACCTCCACACCAGCCTGGCGCCACCACTCTGCCCGCTGCCTCTGCGCTGCTGGCCTCGGGTCCCACACACTGAAGCAAGGTCACGGGGCGCTCACCTTTGCATGCTGCTCTAGCACTGTCACAGGGTCTGGCCCCGCTGTCGCCTTGCTTGCGTTACAGTCCGCTTCCCGTCCTCTACGCAGCTCAGCTGAAGGCAGCTCCACTCCTCCCCTCAGCTCCCACTCTAGTCCACTCTGACCCCGTCCACTGCGTCAGGGTGGGACATACCTGAGCTGTCCTTGGCCCCCACGGGCCGCAGCTTCGGGACCCCTCCTTGAAAGAGGCCTCCCTTGGGCTGCAGGGCAGCAGCTCCCGAGCTGTAGCCGCCGCCACTTCCTTTGGGCTCTGCAAAGCACAGCACGGTTTTCAGCTCACAACCTGAGCTGGGGGTCACATCGGTGCAGAGGAGAACCCGCCACCCCGCCGCCATCTGGGCTATGATCTGCAAGCAAACCCCTCTTGCCTTGCCTGTCCTTTAGACGAGCTAGCTCTGCAATGAGAGCGAGCAAGGGAGCAGAGCCTGCCCTCCCTGTGCCCAAGCTTAGGGGTCTCCCCTGTGAGTCCCAGGCAAGAAGGGGCTAATGATAGGGTGTGGGGTGCGGAGTGACACTGCGGCCACACTGGCTTCGGCGAAGAGGCTCCTCAGGGACGGCTCCTCGGAGAGCAGCCAGGGATGCGCCCCAACAGGCGCTGGTGCAGCAGGAGGCAGGGAAACTTCTCAGCTGCTCAAGTGAGTAGCTGGGAAGAGGCCGGAGCACGCATACTACCCCTGGACAGAAACCCCAGGCAGCAAGGACAGGACAGCAGCCCGCTGAGACTGCAGTCAGCCGGGGATCCAGGGCAGGAAGCGGGGACTTACTCTCCAAGACTGGGGCACTCCGGTCGTTAACATTGGTCACCTTCTTCAGCTTGGTCCCTTTGCAAATGTCCTGCAAGAGCGCATTGCGGCCTCGCTGCTCATCTCTGCTCAGCTTGGGCTGCTCTGTGTTTGCCTGGAGGAGAGGGAGAGGAAGACAGGTGTCACAAACTCAGCACGCCTGGCTTAACACCCTAAAGCGCCTGCGCAACCGGATCAGGTGCGCCTGCCAAACAGCTACGGGCCAGCACCACCCGTCTCCCCTCCTCGGATCCCCGCCCCAGGCCCAGGCTTCTGAAAGAGGTCTGCACTGCACTGAGTGTCTGTGGGATACTCTGTGACAGGCACCTCCGCACCGCACAGCACCGCCATCTGGGGACACTCACCGAGTCATGCCATGCTTCCAGGGTTGGGCTGGGCACACTACTGCACCGTCCCGTGATGCTTACCGTCAAGAAACCGTCCCATGCTCTTTACCAACATCGCCCCCAAGTGCAGCACGGCTGAGCTGAGCGCTGCCTAAGGCCCCGCAGCCAGGATGCAAGCACAGACCGCGACCCTGGCAGGGACTCTGCATCCCAACCAATGCATCCACCTGCCCTGGCTTTAGTTAGCCTCTAAACACGGAAAGCAGACAAGGTTCGGGAAAATCGCTGTCATGTGACAGACGCGTGGTTCTGACTGCCGGACGTCCCCTCCACGCCCCAGCTGCCCTCCTCAGTGCTACACTCTTTCAAGCCCTTTCACCTCCTTCACCTCCTCTGCCTCATCTGCCTGTTCCAGGACAAGCTTATCCGGCAACAGCGTCTGCACACCACACAGGAGCCCCAAACTCTCCAGTGTTTCTATTTTGTTCCCCTCGCATCCGCCCCGCGCGTCACCGGCATCAATGCCACTGCACAGAACACTCCTATGTGAGCACTGCACGTGGACCTGAGTGGGCAGGCTGCATGCTGCACAGGCCTGGAATCCCAGCGCCCGGGGAGGCTGAGGCAGGAGGAGTACAAGTAGAGCCCAGTCTGGCAACTTAGCAAGGCCTCGTCATTCATTCATAAATAAACGAATCAATCAATCTATGAATGGAGAAGGCTGGGGATGTAGCTCAGTGCAAAGGCCCTGGGTTTACTCTCTAGTTCCAAAATAAATAAACAGTATATATTTTAAAAGGAAAAAAGGACACACATGGAAAATTCCTGGAAGGACATACCTGTATGCTAAAACAAACTAAAGGTTAATATATAATAATTCTTTATTTACATTTTCTAATATATAATAATTATTAATATTTTGGGGGCTTTTCCTCCATCACTGGACTTTTCAGGCTTCTTACCAGTACGTTCCTTATGCAGGCGCTTGCCTGCCTCCACGTACGTACTCGCGGCCCTGGGGACAGAGCCTAGGCCCTTCCCCCTTCCTACATCCCCTGCCCCAGTGAGTTTTCTTATCTAATTTTTTTTGGTCTTTTTTTGAGACAGGGCCTCACTATGCAGTTCAGGCTGGCCTTGAACTCCAGCAATCCTCCTGCCTCAGGCTCCCGAGTGCTGGGATCACAGGGGCACACCGCCACGACAGGCTTTATCTAATTGTTAAGCGTGGGCATGTTGTTACTCCATAAGATAATAAGTTGAAACTGTTTTTTAGCAGCTGTGGCAAAGTAAGCATGAAAATGTATCAAATAGTATTATTTGCTCGTGACAGTCTTCTAATTACAGTATCACCAAGACTAGGGCTGTGATAATTAAAAATATAAAAACTAAAGCATGTTCCACTCCTTACACATTAGCTATGTATTTTATATGTGCCCAAGCCACTTGTCACTCAGGTGGCCCAGTCCAGCCGAAAGGCCGGACACCCATGGTGCAGGACAACCGGGACAGGGACCCGCAGCGCCACTGCAGGCCCGGGGGGGCGCCCGGACCGGAAGGAGTAGGGAGGTCGGCGTGTTGGTTCTCCATCTTCCCACCAGACAGCACCAAGTGCACATGCTGAACCCCTGTGACTGAAGAGCATGGAAGGGGGAGGGAAACCTGCGATTTTTCACCACAGTGGCGTGTGAGACCAACTGGCCTGATTCCCAAAAGAGCCGGCAGAGCCTGGCAGAAGAACCACCCACCTGATTAAAAGTGGGGGGCGGCGGGGGGCCTGGCGGGGGCGGTGGGGGAGGAGGGATCGGCATCCTTGCCCTGCTCCCAGTTGGCACTGCTCTCTCTCCGTCTTCCCTGGGAGCTTTAGGTCACTCATATACCTGGAAATGAAACAGAATTTGTCAGACAAACAGCACCAGCAGAGTGAGAGTCACCGGGCGCCAGGAGGACCACGCACAGCACCAGAAAGGACTAGGCACTCATCTCCTGGGTCTGCTGGCCTTGGGGCATTTCCCTCGTGAAAGGCCAGTTCACGGCTACTCTAGGCTTTGCAGGAAACAGCTGGAGTGTAGATCGTGCTTTGCTAACGCAGGGGCAGCAGGCGGGGCAGGCGCTGTACTGCCGGCTACAGCCCAGCCCGACCGACTAATGAACAAGCACACCAACCCCAGCACTCACACAAGAACTCACTCAGGTGGGGTGCCCGCCACAGGCGTGACAAACGCACAGCCACATTATCCACGTTTGCAGAATCACACCAGGGTTCCAGTCCTCTGAACTGTGCTCTGCCTCCTCCCTCTCTTCCCTGTCCTATGTGGCCACTGATCTTTGTACTTCCTAGTTTTCTAGTTTTTCCTTGCAGAATGTCGATGTACTATGAACTCATCAGCAGGGGTGAAATCACAGGCTACGCAGCACTTCCAGACTGACTTCTCTCGCTTTGTTACATGCACTGAAGTGTCCCCCAAGGGTTGCACAGCTCAACAGCTCTTTTCTTCTCCAGATGGGAGTCTCACCACATTGCCAAAGCTGCTCTCTAACTCCTGAGCTCTAGTGATTGTCCTGCCTCAGCCTCTCAGGTAGTTAGGACTACAGATGCACACCACCACACCCAGCTTACAGCTCTTTTCAGTGCTGAATAATATTCCACGGTCCAAATGGACCCCAGACTATCCATTTCCTCCTATGGAAACGGCTGTTTTGGTGGCTTCCAAGCTTGAGCGATTCTGAATAAAGATGCTCTAAACATCCACATGCAGGGTTCTGTGTGGACACCAAGAAGAGGGACTGCAGGACCGCATGCTGAAATCACATCCACTTCTGGCCAACTGTGCCACACTTCCGCCGGCCTGGCTGTACCTTCCGCATCCCACAGCAAGGAGGGCAGTTCCTGTGGCATCATTCCCCTGCCATTACCTGGAGCTGCTGGTGTTCTCCACTTGGGGCATTCAGCTAGGTACATGATGAGAACTTTGTTTTTTGAGATAAGGTTTTACTCTGCAGTGCAGGCTGGCCTTAAACTCATAATCCTGCCTCAGCTTCCTGAGAGCTGGGATTACAGGTGTACACCATGGCACACAATCTTGTTTTAGTGTATACTTTCCTAATATGTAGTGTAATAGTGAACACTTGCTCCTGTGCTTTTTTTTTTTTTTTTTTTTTTTTTTTTGTGACAGGGTTTC